ACTCCTCTACTAATCAATTTCCTTGTCAAAAATTGATATTCTCTTCGAGCTTCTCTAATTCTTCTTGGAATCTGTTTGAGAACTATCAATTCTTTATCTTTATATTTCAGTGGTTGATCCCTCACTAGTCTCAGGATCTCATCCCGCACTGCTCTTTTACTAAATCTAACATGAACCTTCCTGGGCACTCTATTTCTTCTTGCATAATTTGAATTCACTCTAAAAACTTGATCGACTTCTCTTTTGATTTGATCCATTTTCATTCTGAGCAAGTCCACCAATAATTCACTCATCAATAGTAACAAGTTCTCATCACTCTCTTCTATCATATTTTGAAATCTTAGAAAGTATGATGCCCGTTCCATCTCCATCATCGCCATACTTTCTTCCAGCTCCGCGTTAGATTGTGCCAATCTCTGATTTTCATCTTGGAGAGCTTCTAATTTCTGATCCACTACTACTGACTTGTCTTCAATATTTTGGATTCTTTGTTGAGTATCTGGCATCGCCTGTTGAAAGGCTTCCATTTTTTGATCCATCTTAAGCAAATCATTTTTCAAGTCTTCAAAGTCCTTTTTCATTTCCATTTTGGAATCTACAATTGCCTGGAGAATGGCTTGCATATCCTTCTGCTGAGTGTCCGGTTGTAAAAATGTTGTAATCGATTTTTGAAGCGCTGGACTCACTGAAGTTGATGCAGGAGCCGAGGAGCCCTTCCTCACCCCTTTCGCCAAATTTGAAACACTCATCTTGATTATTATATTTATTTATAATCCACCATCAAGCCCGATGGCCCAATTAGTTATAATCCCAAAATAGGGCCCGATGGCCAATTATAATCCACCAAAAAGCTCAGAAAAGGAAAGAAATAAGAAAAAAAAGATATAATCCAAAACCCTCAGTAAAAAATAAAAGTAAGAATATCCAGCAAAGAATTATCAAAATGTAGGAAAAAATATGTCTCTAGACAAAAAAAAAAAACAAATAGAAAAAGAGAGACATAAAAATATGTTTATATCCACACAGCAAAGCTGACAAAAAAAGGAACAATAAAAAAAGAAAGAAAGAAACAATATCCAATTTATAATCCAGTTAGAGACATAAAAATCTTCTTCTGTTGTTCCTTTGTTTTAAAAAGAATAAAATAAATCCAAAAAGGGAACCAGACACAAAGCAAAGACAAAAAAACAAAAACAGTCTCTCTTAATAATCTCCAAGCAAGGTAGGAATGTCTGGGCAGTCAGCCAAGTGTCTGGGCATTGAGCCAAACTCCACAGCTGAATCAACAAAGTTAATGTAACAAAAGAACAAAGGAGAAAAGTTGCAAAATAACCACCAGGGGACGCTGTTTCTTCCCCCGCTATTTACATAGGGAGAAAGTAAAAGAAAAAGAGAAAGTTCCAGCAGTAAATACACAAAACTAACGTTCCAAAAAATTCTTTAAAAAAGCAATTAAGGTGGCTTTTCCCAAGTAGGGTAATAATACGTCTTTCTTCCCCTCTATAATAAGACAAACTGATTCCTTCAATGTAACTTCAATTCAAAACTTTTTCAAAAGTTTTAAAACGCTGAAACCGCCGCTTTTCGGGAGGGGGGAGAAGCAAAAATCCTCCTTTCCTCCCATTTGGCTTCCAGCTTAACTTTAAAGACAGGCAATTTTCTCAAAAGGTCCACTTTGCAACAAAAACTGATATCATCTCACCTGGACCAGTTGCTTGCTTCCTGAAACAGCTGACTCCTGTCTCCGATGATCTGCTGAACATGGAGGCAAACGCGAAGCTCTCCGCCTTTCTCTCGCCGGATCCAGAGGCTATTTTGAGTTCCTTTCCTCAAAGAGTTCACCTCTCGGTGGCCACCCCTCCAGGGTGGCATTCAGCCCTGCTGGGCCCGCCAGCAAAAGAAATTCGGACCCTGGGAACGGAGAGTCGTAACCCAGGGTCTACTACCAACGACGTCACCGAAAGCTCTCTCCGGCTAACATGTTCTTCATAAGTGGCAGGATACACATTCTCCACACAAACCATGTTCAGCTTACAATAGTCCACGCATAAGCAGAGAGAACCATCCTTCTTTTCTTGGAATAGAACTGGATCGGCTGTCCAGCCTCTGGCTGGTTGGATAAATCCATGTTGCAAGTTTTTGTCTATGAATGTGCGGAGTTCTTCCAGCTTCCAGGGAGTCATAGAGTGTACTTTGGGCTTTGGCAGTCTAGCCCCAGGGAGGATCTCGATGGTGCAGTCTGTTGGCTGGTGAGGCGAGAGTACATCAGGTCCCTTTTCACTAAAGACCTCCCTGAGATCCCAATATTCCTTGGGGATGTTAGGGTACTGTCTTGGCTGGTTCATGCCATCGCAGCTAGTTCCATCGTACCCTGAGTGGTTTAGTTCTCCTCTCTTGGGCCCTCCCCTTTGGATTTTTAATAGTTTCTTTCACCAGTTAATATAAGGGTTCCATTTTTGGAGCCATGCCAGCTCCAGTAAAAGGGGTCTCTCCAGTCCCGGAGCCACAATAAAGTGGTGGTTCCCCATTTGCATTTCCACCAGCTTTGTTATAAAATGGGCTGGGGCTCCTCCAGCTATAGTCCCGTCCGGTTGACAAAATGCTATAGGCACCCTCAATTGTCAGAGCCTCAGTCTCAGCTTCTCTACCACTTCATGGCTCACTATGCATTTAGTTTTCCCTGGGTGCCTGATGATAGCATGTTCAGTTCGACTGGGATGGGTTCACAGTGCGACCTACCAGGGGATTGTCATCGGAGTCTGTGTCGCTCCTCTCTGGGGTGGTTGGAATTCTCTGGTCCCCGTAGCCAGGCAGGGAGAACTCAATGAGTTTAACTCCCTCTAATGCCATTTCATGAGGTTTCGATGTGAGCTTTCATGCCTTCTTCCCCGCAGCGACGCTGGTTTTTGGAGTCACTTTGGCGAGTCGGCAATCGATGGCCCTCCTTTCCACATTTGAAGTAGCCTGTAGTTCAGTGTTTGGGGCATTCTCAGGGTATCCCTCTTCTCTAGGGGGGAGGAACAACACCATCCATGGATGTTCCACTATGGGACCTGGCCAGGTTGATTTCCACTTCCTCGGCTAGCACATAACACTGATGAAGGATGTGAGGGGCTTCTCCTGAGATGCAGGTGTTGTACACATCATTATTGAGCCCATCTTGGAATGCTTGATCAGGATGTCTTCCGGCCAATCAGCCAGCCAGCATGCCAGTTCACAGAACTCTTGATTATAAGCTGTCACTCCTCTGCAACCCTGATTGATGGTTTTGATGCAAGTTCGCGCTTTGTGTTAGGTGAGTGGGTCGGTCGAAGCTGCAGAGTTCTGGGGCGTCATTGCTGTGGAGCGAGACCATCCACTCTGCTGCGGTGCCTCCCAGAGCCATGGTCACATGGTCCAGAGCCACATCTGACCCAGGCTACCTTGGTAGCTAGGTCAGCTCCATACTCCTACATGTAGTTCCAGACCTGAGTGAGGAAGAACCCCAATTGCTTTGTGTCTCCCCTTTACTTCAGGCCTACGGCTGGGGGCCTTGGCACCTCTTCCCTTGGGGGAAAGAGCCTACTGGTGAGGGGGCTGCATTGCTGGAGCAGCTGTTGGCAGGGTCGCTTGTGCCAGAGTGGGTCCAGGTCAAATTGCTGCCCCTCTCTGCTGTGGCTGCTGGCATTGCAGTGCTATCTCTCATTGGTTCCAGTTCAGCTCAAAGTTTGGCTAGCTGGGCAAGGAGTTCTCTGACTCGCCTGTTCCTGAAGGCATCCTTCAGTACCCTTTGGGCTTGTTCCACCAGATCCTCCCACTTGTCTGGCTCTCCTTGGCCTTCCTCCTCACCCCGTCCACTGTGTTGCTCTCATCTCCTGGCTCTGCAGCTTCCCCTCATGTAGGTTATACTGAGGGTTTTCTCTTTTGCTTCTTCATCTTTCATCCCCAGGGTGAGTGACTACCGGGATTTTGGATCCTCCTTGCCGATACTCATTTCCCCCATCCATTCAAGCTCCTCTTTTGGGCGATGTGGTTTGGCCGGGGGCCCTCTGCGAGGTCCAGCCTCTTCCAAGCTGCTTTCATGGCTTGTCAACGACCCTTGACTCATGAATGTTAGAGAAAAGGCATTTTTACTAGAGATATTGAGTGCAGTGTGAGCAAGACAAGCTCTGAAAGAAAACTGCACAAAAATCGTTTATTGAAAGCAATCCCCAATGTCCAAAACTCTCCCCGTGGCCAGAGCAGTCCAATCCAGTTGTGGCCTGATGTTTTGGGAACCTGCTGCCTCAGGCACCATTGTAAATTCCTTTCCCAGGGCCGGCATGCTTGAAGGCAGGCAGATGGCAGTTTGGCATCTCTGGTTCCTGCTAATGTCCCTACTCCCCAAATTCTCACAGCATTCTTTCCCTCCCAAATGTCCCCTCCCCCCTGGTTATGGCAGTTGCTAGAGAGCTTCAAAGAAAGCCAAGATAGACATCTGACAGTGTGTGTGTGTGTGTGTGTGTGTGTGTGTGTGTGTGTGTGTATGTGTATATAGATAGTGTATGTTTATTTGTTTGCACATATGGATATGGGTGCATGTATGGGTATATTTTTTGAGAGTGAGCATCAGAATTTCATTTTTTAATGTGTGCAGTGTGTTCACAGAAAAAAGTAACAATAAAGGTTATCTTGTCCCATCACATCTTATCGTGGTGTGACTTAAGTGGAGCCATTGTGGTTTGATTCATATTATCTGTGAACATAGCCACAAACACTATGATAAATTAGTTAAAACATAATATTCTATTATGGATTGTTCTATGATGAGTTGAGGAAAGAAGGCACCATTGTTGTTTTGTCTTCCATTTAATAATTAATGTGTAATTTCACCCATAGGATAGTATGGCTCAAAATAATAGAAATTACAGGGCTGAAGCAAACAACTGGGCCTGTCAATGTCTTAATTTTGGACAGTGTGTGTTACAGAATTTAATATAATTCTGTTTTCCATTTTTGTGTTTTATGCAATTACTTTGCAGCAAGCCAAAATTGAAGAAGAACAGCAATGTTCAACTCAAAATGCTGGGGAGCCTTCCACATCCGATTCAAGACGACCACGCATCAAAAAAAGTGCATATTTTAGTGATGAGGAAGAACTTAGTGACTGATATAAATACTATGTAAATATACTTTATGAGGTTACTGTTGTTAACCATGATCTCACTCTTGTAATTAAAATATAACTTGAAAGCACCAAACATTTATAGTATTATGTTTACTTCATACTATTATTTCAGTTCTGTTATTTGTTATATATTTTTTAATTTTATATCATTTATATAGCATCCCATTTGATTGACTGCAGATAACATACAGTGAGGGGAAAAAGTATTTGATCCCCTGCTGATTTTGTACATTTGCCCAATGGTAAAGAAATGATCAGTCTATAATTTTAATGGTAGGTTTAATTTAACAGTGAGAGACAGAATAACAACAAAAAAAACCAGAAAAAAACATTTCAAAAAAGTTATAAATTGATTTGCATTTTAATGAGTGAAATAAGTATTTGATTCCCTATCAATCGGCAAGATTTCTGGCTCCCAAGTGTCTTTTATACAGGTAATGAGCGGAGATTAGGAGCACTCTCTTAACGGAAGTGCTCCTAATCTCAGCTCGTTACCTGTATAAAAGTTGCCTGTCCACAAAAGCAATCAATCAAATTACAAACTCTCCACCATGGCAAAGACCAAAGAGCTGTCCAAGGATGTCAGGGACAAGACTGTAGACGTACACAAGGCTGGAATGGGCTACAAGACTATTGCAAAGCAGCTTGGTGAGAAGGCGACAACAGTTGCTGAGATTATTCGCAAATGGAAGAAACATAAAATAATTGTCAATCTCTCTCGGTCTGGGGCTCCATGCAAGATCTCATCTTGTGGAGTTTCAATCATCATGAGAACAGTGCGGAATCAGCCCAGAACTACATGAAAGGATCTTGTCAATGATCTCAAGGCAGCTGGGACCATAGTCACCAAGAAAACAATTGGTAACAAGACTTCCGGTTTGCTGACGCGGCCGCCATGGACGCTTGGAAGACGAGCTCTGTCTTCCTCGTCCAGTTTCGCATCGCTGGGTTGAAAAGTCACCCCATAGAGGCGACCAGCAAGGAGGGGCTCTTGCTGGATCGCGGGAGAGCGGTAGCTCTCCCGTTAGAGCCGGCGTTACCCTCCAAACCGGCGGACGAAAGACCGGCCATAGCAATATGGCCGGTCACTAGGCTGCGGACAGCCGAAGTCACACTTACCACCAGGCAACATTAAAGCAGCATGGAAGAGACTGGGTGAGATCTACCTCTCTTAAATCCTAACTACCTTTTTCTACCTATGTAAGCTGCTAAAGTACTTTCCCCCCTGTGGAGAGGGAAGGGATTTTATCCCTCCCTCCAGAAACAGCAGCGACCGATTATCCAGGGGAGTTTAAAACGTTGAAAAAATAATTGGATCCCAATCAGAATTTTATTTTCTAAAGTTTGTGGAGTAAAAGACTTTCTACTATCTATTCTTTACTTTCTAATTTTTATTGAGGATCTGGGTTTTTCCTCATAAAATAGAAGAAAAACAGAAAAGATTAAAATAACTTTGAGATTCAAAAGAAATTTTTAAAGGGCAGGGGCGACATCTTGTGGCTAAATCTGAAACTTCAATCTGTTATTCTCTAAGAAAGATTCAGCTGACAACCCAGAAAATAAGATAAGATTAATGCAACTTTGAAACACCAGATGTGAGAGACTCAGCTGTGCTTTCTATTTACTGAAAAAATAATAACAGTAACAAAAAATTGTAAAAGCTTCTAATCTAACTCATCATTATGGAAGAAGATCAAGAACAGACTTTTTTATGGAGGAAAATCAGGAACAAATTCTTGCTACATTGAAAGCAATTTATCAAACCCTTCTTACAGCTGACGATGAAATGAGAACCTTTAGAAAAAAGCGAGAAAGCAGCTCAGATATGCAAATGCAAATTTTGATTACAACTAAAAAAATCAACCATACAGAATACAACAGAAAAAGTGGAACAATTAAATATTATGACAGAAGATTTAACTGCCCAACAAGTACAGACAATGGAAAATCCAGAAAAGAATCTGACAATATGGAAGGAGGAAAAAACTTGCTATATGAACCAGAAGGAACCTGAGGATGAAGAAGAAGAATAGATGGAAGAGAAGATAAATAATTCAGGACAACTAGATTGAGAGGGAAAAATGAAGAGACCTGCTAGACCTGCCAGATCTGCTAGCCTTCTCAAAAAAAATGGTGACTGGATGGTCTTTTCAACATTACATAATACATATAACAACACAAGGAGATTTGTTTGATGACTCAAAAGCATGAACATGGAGGATGATTTGGCAAAGAAAGCTAGAATAAGACTGAAGAAGAATGGGGTTTTAACCTACTTATGAGATTTTAAATAGAATATATTTAAGTAGATAAGATGTGTATTTTGAATACAAGATATTGTTATGAGTTGAAGATAAAGAAAAATTTTGGCTACTCAATATCTAGAAATATAAATATTTTTTTTTTTTTTTTTTTTTAAATTTTATTGACAAAACAATTAAAACAAAAAGAGACATGACATGACGTTCCAGTATACATGATCCTAGTAATTCGTTCCTTATCATATTTAAAGTTCTAAATATACATCTCTCTACGTATTAACACATAATTTTATATACCACAAATTTAAACTTTAACTCAAAACCCGACCAGTTCTTCTTGACTCATACCAACAGTAAAATTTGTCCCAGATTCCAAAATAATCTGTTTC